CCCCACATGTTCTGATGTTTGGTATTTTCATTGCACTTTGTTCAGAGCACTTTCTAATCTCCATTGTAATGTCTTCTTTGTCCCATGGGCTATTTATCAGTGTTTTTCTTGATTTCCAAATACATGAGGATTTCCTTTTATTTTCTTTTTTTTTAATTTAAATTCAGTTAATTAACACATAGTGTATTATTAATTTCGGAGGTAGAGGTCAGTGATTCATAAGTCTTAGATAATACCCAGGGCTCATTATATCACATGCCCTCCTTAATGTTCATCACCCAGTTACCCCATCCCCTCACCCCCTTGGCCTCCAGCAACCCTCAGTTTGTTTCCTATGATTAAGAGTCTCTCATCATTTATCTCCCTCTCTGATTTTGTCTTGTTTTATTTTTCCCTCCCTTCCCCCATGAGCCTCTGTTTTGTTTCTTAAATTCCACATGAGTGAGATCATATGGCAATTGTCTTTCTCTGATTGACTTATTTTACTTAGCATAATACCCTCTAGTTCCACCCACATCGTTGCAAATGGCAAGATTCCATTTTTTTGATGGCTGAGTAGTATTCTATTGTGTGTGTATGTGTCTGTGTGTGTGTGTGTGTGTGTGTGTGTGTTTATATACCACATCTTCTTTATCCGTTCATCTGTCAGTGGACATCTGGGCTCTTTCCACAGTTTGGCTATTGTGGACACTGTTACTATAAACATTGGGGTGCAGGTGCCCCTTCGGATCCCTACATTTGTATCTTTGGGGTAAATACCCAGTAGAGCAATTGCTGGATTGTAAGGTAGCTCTATTTTCAACTGTTTGAGGAATCTCCATACTGTTTTCCAGAGTGGTTGTACAAGCTCACATGCCCACCAAGAGTGTAAGAGTCTACGTGGGGATTTTCTTTCCTTTTGTTTTTTTAAGATTTTCTTTATTTGAGAGAGAGAGATAGCAAGAGAGAGAGCACAAGCAGGGAGGAGAGGGAGAAGCAGGCTCCCCGCTGAGGTGGAAGCCCCATGTGGGGCTCAATCCCAGGACCCTGGTATCATGACCTGAGCCGAAGGCAGCCGCTTAACTGACTGAGCCACCCAGGCGCCCCTACATGGGGGTTTTCTAAGTCATTTATATTATTTCAGTTCTTTGACATTTGATGATCTGTTTATATAAATATTCTATGTGTTCTTGAACATGTATTCAAGTGCATGACTGTTGAGTACCGCATTCTGTACATGTCAATTCATTCAGCTTATTATAGTGGTGGCATTCAAATCTTCTATAGCCTCACTGATTTTTTTTCCCTGCTTCTGTAAGTTTCTGGGAGAAGTATGTTAAAGTCTCCTACCATGTATATTTGTCTACTTCTTTTCATTCTGCCAAGTTTTGCTTTATATGTTTTTAAACTGTTAAGTGTACACACATCCAGATTTGTATATCTTCCTGTTGAATTGAGCTTTTTATAATATTAATGTGTTCCTGTTATCTCTAATAATGTTTTTCTTCTTAAAGTCTACTTTTTTTTAAAAATATATTTATTTATTTATTTGAGAGAGAGAGAATGAGATAGAGCATGAGAGGGGGGAGGGTCAGAGGGAGAAGCAGACTCCCTGCTGAGCAGGGAGCCCGACGCGGGACTCGATCCCAGGACTCCAGGATCATGACCTGAGCCGAAGGCAGTCGCTTAACCAGCTGAGCCACCCAGGTGCCCTCTTAAAGTCTACTTTGTCTGAAATTAATATAGTTATACATGTTGGTTAGCGCTCACATGATATATATATATTTTTTTGTCATTTTATCCCTGTGTCTAATATATTTTCTTTTTTTTTTAAAGATTTTATTTATTTATTTATTTGAGAGAGAGAGAATGAGAGATAGAGAGCACGAGAGGGAAGAGGGTCAGAGGGAGAAGCAGACTCCCTGCCGAACAGGAAGCCCGATGTGGGACTCGATCCCGGGACTCCAGGATCATGACCTGAGCCGAAGGCAGTCGCTTAACCAACTGAGCCACCCAGGCGCCCTCTTAATATATTTTCTATATATTCTATACTTTTTTCCCCGCTCTGTACTTAAATTTTGATATTTTGTATTGAATTAATCTTTTTTTTTTTTTTTTAATTTGTGTCCAGGGCACCTGGGTGGCTCAGCCGTTAAGCATCTGCCTTCAGCTCAGGTCATGATCCCAGGGTCCTGGGATCGAGCCCCGCATCGGGCTCCCTGCTCAGGAGGGAGCCTGCTTCTCCCTCTGCCTCTGTCACTCCTCCCCGCTCATGCTCTCTCTCTCTTTCTCGTACTCTCTCTCACTCAAATAAATAAATAAAAGTCTCTTAAAAATTATTGTGTCCAATCTGTTGTTAATGCACTGTTAGCACTGAGCTCCTAATTCCATGTTTTATTGTTGCCATTTCTCTGGGGAAATCCCTAATCTTGTCTTTTATATCCTTAAATGTAGTTATTTAAAGTCTGTGGTCTGACAGTTTCATAATCTGGAGGTCCTATGGGTCTCTTTCTTCCATCGTTTGTGCTTTCTCTTGGGCTTTGTTTATGTTGTATCACTGCCTTGTTTGCTCAGTTTTTTATTTTATTTTATTTTAATTTAAAGATTTTATTTATTTGACTTTGACAGAGAAAGACACAGCGAGAGAGGGAACATAAGCAGGGGGAGTGGAAGAGGGACAAGCAGGCTTCCCGCTGAGCAGGGAGCCTGATGTGGGGCTCGATCCCAGAACACTGGGATCATGACCTGAGCCAAAGGCAGACGCTTAACGACTGAGCCACCCAGGTGCCCCTGCTTGGTTATTTTAAAGTTAACCTTTGGAAAGGGTGTTGAAAATTGTTAAAAATAATTGTTAGAAATAATCTGAGGCCCAGGATACCAACATTCTGGAACTACTTTAATTCCATTTGATTGAAAGTGATGATTTGAAGCTGGGCCACTGGGCTTGTCAGGGCTGGCTTATTTCTCCTTTTACTCCCAGAGTGAGGACCCATTGCCAAGGGCGGTTCACCAGCATGCCCCGGCCCCAGCCACCCAAGGATGTCAAAAGCACTACATGGCCTCTTGGCCACTTCTTTCAGGACTGGCAAACATCTTGAGGGAGAAAAGCACCTCCAAATGCCAGGCTCCTCTGTCTCTAGGCCTGCATTTCTTCCCTGCTTGTGATGCCTTTAAGTGGATATTTTCTTTTTATCTGGCTCATCTAGGGGTCTGTGGGAAATCTGACCTGAATGATTCCATTTCCCATTACAGGGATGTCTGATCTACATTTTGCCAGATAATTTTGTTAAAATGGAACAGTTAAGGCAGATGCGGGGGACCAAGTAGGAGACCGTTGCAATAACCCAGTGAGAGATGCCGGTGGCTTGGATCTGGGGATGACAGAAAGTGACCAACCAAGAGTGACTCCAACGTTCATGGCCTGAGCAAAGGGGTGAATGGTTGTGTCCTTTTCTAAGGTAGCAAAGGTAGTAAGGGAGCCATTTTGAGGGGCAGAGTTGGGAAGGAAGTGCAGTTTAGGTCATGTTAAGAGTGAAACGCCTCAAATAAAAACTTAAGAAAGAAACAAACAAACCCAAGCCAATCCAAAAAAAAAAAATGAAATGCCTTAGACACCCAGAGGAGTCATCTTGTGAATGGCTGGGGATGTGTCTGGAGTTTAGGCAAGAGGCCTGAGCTGGAGATAAAACTTGGGGGTCGTCAGTGTGGAAGTTGCATTTTAAGCTCTGAGCCAAATTAGCTCATCTGGGAGAAGATATAGGTGTACAAGGATGGAGGACTGAGCCCGAGGCCCCCAACAGCATGAGGCCAGGGAGGTGGGGGGAAACGAGAGCATGGTGGGTGGTGGTGGTGGGAGCGTGTCTTCTGGAAGGAGAGTGCAGAGAGCACTTCCAGAGGCAGGGAACAATGGGTCAGATGAGATGAGGCTTTTGTGATGGGAATTTTTTTAAAAAAATTGTTTTCCAGTTTGTCTTTTGTTTTTGTTTGTGGTGTTTTAATCTTATGAAGCATCTGTGTCTCTCTCTGCCTGGATGTGAACATCTTCATTGTGTCATGCTGCTGGCTTCCGCCCCTTTCCCTGTTCCCACCTTCCGTGTGTCCATGCTGTAGCCCTGTGTGCCCATGGGTAGGCCCAGAGCAGGGACACGTGGCTCAGGGGAGGCTGTGGGCCCAGGGTGGATTGGTCAGGCTGAGGTGCCCGAGCCAAGGGAGGCCCTATGGGGTCAGAAGTCCTATGGGGTGTGGGAGGGCAACCAGTTCCACTCCCTCTTTGGGCCTTGGTTTCCCCACCTGGTTTAAATGCTTGCTTCCTTGAAGTGCTGGGGAGGATTCCTGAATGTGCAGGAAGAGGCAGGCCCCCCCCCCCCGCCCCGTGAACTGGGCAGGGCTGTGCCCTAGGAACAGGGTCATTTCCTCAACACAGACCAGTCTGACTAGCACCTTGGAGCTAAAAGGCCCACCCCTTGGTGCCCACGGACAAGTGGTAGACTGAGACCAGAAAATATTCCTGCAGACACTGGGGCCCCAGGAGGGGCTGGAGAACTCATTAGCCCAAGCCCCTGGTGGCAGGGCAAGATCCTGGGGTCACCTGAAAAAGTCCAGTCTTAAAAGAGTTGGGACCTGTTGTAGCCCCACTGGAATGCGGATTGGGGGCTGCCTAGGCTGTGCTCCTGGACTGCGGGGAGGGACTGGGGGTCTGGCCCAGGCAAATGAGCCAGGGCTCCTGGGAGGGGCTAAGGAATAATGGTGGCAAAAGCACAGCGCAAACTGAGAAGTACCTTATATAAGGCAAGGGGCAGTGTAAACGGTATTACAATTTGCAGTCTGTAGAGGGCTCTGGACCTGTGAGCAGCTGGACTGGAGGGGGCAGCCCAGTGTGGTCTCTGACTTAACCCAGAGTTTGGTGGCAGCAGATGGTCACCCACCTGTCACCATTCCCCGGTAAATGCCAGCTGAAGAAGCCCATGTTGGGAAGCTGGGGCTGGGGAGCCAGGCTTCTTATTCTGTGCCGTGTCCCCTAGAGCCATCCTCCAGCAGCATGGCTCACCTGTGGATGCCACCATTGCGGCTCTGGTCTGCACCGGAGTCATCAACCCTCAGAGCATGGGCCTGGGCGGAGGGGTCATCTTCACCATCTACAATGCCACCACAGGTGAGTTCATGCCGGGGACCCCATGGAGAGGACAGGCATGTCCACAAGCACTAACAGTGAGGTGCTTACAAACATCCTAAGTGTTTGCCTAGCTGTCCTGTGCACCCATGGCCTTTCTTGGGTCCTCTCGGTGCCCCCCACTTCTTCTACCTTGTCTTTGCAAAGCCACCACAACCTATCTCAAATAGGAACATTGTCAGGGAGGAGGAAATTCTTCTGCCCTTCAAGGTCCTTCTAGCTGGACTAAGGATTAAATTGACATGAGATAAATTAACAGGACAAAATCGAATTTAATTTCCCATGTATGGGGAATCCACACAGACATGGAAATCCCAAAGACAGACAAAATGAGCTAAGGAGAAGGGGGTAGGGGTCTGGGACTTCAAAGGGAAGGAATGCAGTTCACGGGAAGATAAAGAAGAATAAACTGTTTGCAGGGCCGCTGGGCAACAATGGGACGCAGAGGACTTTTACAAAAGGCCTTGCAAGGTCCCTCCCTGTTGCCCCTTACTAGTTCATATCCTACTGTAGTTATCTATGGGGATGGCTCTCTTCCTGGAGCAGGTCCTCTGTCTAAATTCTTTCAGGCAGCAGTAGGGGGGAGGTAAAAACTCTTCGGGATTCTGCTGGGTCTTAATTGCTTTTAACTCAAAAATAATCTTCAAGCCAAAGCGGCTCATCTTTGGGTGGCCTGCTCTTGGCCCCTACAGCACAGAGACCAGTTCAAAGTACAAAGAGAGAAACTGAGGCCTAGAGCAGGACCAGGGCCATATGAGGGGTGACTATGGTGTGGGGTGAGGACTGGCAGCCCCAGGAATGCCCCTGAGCACTCACATGCCCTGCCCCAACTCCAGGGAAGGTGGAAGTCATCAATGCCAGGGAGACAGTGCCTGCCAACTACGTCCCAGGCCTACTGGACCAGTGTGAGCAGGCCCAGCCACTGGGCACAGGTGAGGCCCTTGGAGGGGCCACCCTCTCTCATCCCACCAGGCCACTGGAGCTGATCAGAACCCTCCCCCGAAGGGGCTTTGTGGATAGGCTGTGCAGCTATTGAATGGGGAGCCCCCATGGAGGTCCTGACCCACCGGAGTTGGGGGAGACTTCCTGGGACAGGGCTGAGTAGGGAGTGGTGATCCAAGCAGAGGGACCAGCCTGGCAAAGGTCTGGAAGGTTCAGTGGAGATGGGGCGTTGGGTGGGGTAGGGGGTCCTGGGGCCCATTTGTGCTGGGCCCTGATGGAAGGCAGTGGGGAGCCACGGGGCGGTGACGGGGGGGGTGGTTGAGCAAGGAGGGACCAAGTCAGGTGTGGGCTCCAGAAAGCTCATTCTGGCTGCCATGCCAGGGGGACCAAGCGGGTGGGGCGAGTGTGGGGGTGGTGGAGAACCCCTGTGGAAGGCTAGGGGGCTGAGGGCAGGGACATGACCCCACTGTGCTTTGCAGGGGCCCAGTGGATTGCAGTGCCGGGGGAGCTCCGTGGCTATGCTGAGGCCCACCGCCGCCACGGCCGCCTGCCCTGGGCACGGCTCTTCTGGCCCACCATCTCCTTGCTCCGAGGGGACTACCGCATGCCCTCCATCCTCAGTCAGTTCCTGCAGAACGACTTCCTACGGCCTTCCTTGTACAAGACATCCCTGAGGTGAGCACTTCCCCAAGGCGTCCCTGGGCCCCCGCTCAGCTCCTGAGTTCAGACTATGGCCTGTCTGCCTGGCTCCCACCCCAGTCCCACCTCAGCCCCTCCTTGAACTGGAGTAGGGTTGACCCTGTGCAGGTGTTGGGGGCCCGAAGGCTAGGAAGGCCAGTATTTTGCTGTCTTGGTTGCCAGACCTTTGAGCAAGGTGGCAGCATAATCAGAGGGGCTCAGGCCAGAAGGGGTTTATATCCAAGTGATGGGACTCCAGGATGTGGATTTGGGCTCGGCCACCGCCCTCTGGCCCCTCCCTTCTTCTCCACCCCCCAAGCCCGTGCCCGGCCACTGACCCTGTCTTCCCAGGGCTGTCCAGGGCCTGAGGAGGGAGCATGCCCTCCCCCAGCCAGGGTGATGAGTGAGGTGAGAGGCTTCAGCCTCCCAATCCTAGAGGAACCGTCTCCCCTGATGTCTACACCAGCCCCTCGGGACCCCAGGCCAGGACTGCCTCCCTGTAGGGTCCCAAGGAACCCAAAAGAGCCCCTGCAGGAGTGTGGCTGCCTCCCGGGGCCCCGCTCCACCCTGAGGCTGCCCCCACCTCCCCAGGCAGCTCTTTTTCAACGGCACAGAACCCCTGAGGGCTCAGGACCCATTCCCCTGGCCCGCACTGGCTGCCACCCTGGAAACCGTGGCCACGGAGGGAGCAGAGGCCTTCTACACAGGGACGCTGGGCCAGACGCTGCTGGAGGACATTGCCAATCAAGGTCAGCTGCGCTGAGGCCCCGGAGCCCCCAGCCCTGCCAGAGAAAGAGTTGGGTTCTGGGTGCTAGGGGTGAGGGCAGGCCCTTCCCCAAGCCCTGCCGGAATGTCAGCTGCTCCCAGGACTTGGGGAGGCCAGGCATCCAGGCCTGCCCACTGCTGGCCTCAAGACCCTGTGGTTGGGGCCCTTGAGGAGCAGAGCTCCCCATAAATTAGGGAGCTAGTGGTGGCCACAGGGGGCCACAGGGGGTCACAGTGGGCTCCTGGGCCTGGAGCTGGCCACCCTCACAATCTGTCAGAGGCAGGCTTCCTCTCTCACCTTCCCGTCCTCCGCCCACCAACCTGCCCGCCTCTGGCCTCTGTCCACCCATCCCTCACCTGGCTCTAGGGCCCAGCCCGGACAGCACTGCCCGCAGACCCTCCACCACCCCTAGGGCTCTCGGAGGCTAGTTGGTGTGGGGAGCCCCACCCCGTGACCCGGGATCAGGGGCTGTCACTCTGCCTGTTTTCCCATCCGTACATGGGGTCTCTTCTGTCTCGCCTCAGGCAGCGGGCTGACCCTGCAGGACCTGGCCTCCTTCCAGCCAGAGGTAGTGGATGCCCTGGCGATGCCCCTGGGGGACTACACCCTGTACTCACCGCCACCACCTGCAGGGGGAGCGATTCTCAGCCTCATCCTCAACGTGCTCAAAGGTAAGACTCCCCGCGCTCCCACCCAGAGTCCTGCCCCACGGGGAGCTCCGAGCCCAGCTGTCGCTTTGGGCCGCCTTCCTTTTCCGGCTCAGCCCCTCCTCGGACACCAAAGACGGGGCTGTGGAAACTGGACCTCTGGCGCAGTCCACGCTGGGGGTGGGCGAGTCTGCCCCGCAGGTGGGCTCTGCAGGCAGTGAGCGGCCTGGTCAGCGGGTGCATCCAGGGCTGAGGCCTGGCCTGTGGGATGGCAAGGGGGGTTCCCGGCCGTGCCCAGGGTTGGGGCTGCCGGTGGCTGCCTGTGTCACTTCCCTGTGACTACCGTGACAGAGTACCACAAACTTGTGGCTTAAAGCCACAGAAATCTATTTTCTCTTAGTTCTGGAGGCCAGATGTCCAAAATCAAGGTGTCAGCTGATCCATGTCTCCTCCGGGGACTCTGGGGGACAATCTTTGTCTCATCCAGCTCTTGGTGGCTGCAAGCGCTCCCAGACTGCGGCTGCATGCCCATCTCTGCCTCCTGCTCACTCACACAGCCTCACCCTCTTCTCTGTGTGTCTGTTTTATAAGATTACATTTAATTGTGTGATTACATTTAGAGCCCACCCGGATAATCCAGGATAATCTGCTCTTCTCAAGATCCTTAACTTAATCACACATTTTGCCATATAAGGTAAAATTCACTCTTTTGCCATTTAAGGTAGTATTCACAGGTTCTGGGGATTAGGACATGGACAAATCTTTTTTGAGGGGGGCCAACATTCCACCCACGACAAAGGGTGACCCCGACCTGCGCCCGTCCCCTCCCCAGTGTTCAACTTCTCCTCGGAGTCGGTGGCCAGGTCCGAGGGGAGTGTGAACTTGTACCATCACCTTGTGGAGACGCTCAAGTTTGCCGGGGGACAGAGGTGGCGGCTGTGGGACCCCCGCAGCCACCTGGATAACCAGGTGAGGCAGCCTATGGCCGCTGGAGAGCCCCGTTCCCAGCCCCAGGGCTCAGCATGAAGGGAAGGTGAGGCTGTCCCCGGACCCCGAGAGTGTGACTGGGTGAGGTTGGAGGGATGTGTATGGAATTTTAGGACAGGACAGCCTGGCAGTGGCCCAGGGCAGGGAGGGTGAGGCAGGTCTGTGGACTAGAAGGGGCCCCAAAGTGGCAAGTACTATAGGGACAGTGTTGGCACCATACCTCAGAGGGCCTGGAGGATGGGCCGGGTCTGGGGGTAGCCTGGGCTCGAGCAGCACGGACTGGGGAGGGCCTCCCAAGGGACCCTCTTCTCTGTGCACCCCCCCCAGCCCCTCACTGACCCTGCCACCTGCCCGGCCACCCCAGAACGCCTCCCAGGACCTGCTGGGAGAGGCTTTCGCCCAGCATATCCGCCAGCAGATCGACGTTCGTGGTGACCACCCTCTCAGCCACTACAGCCTGGCCGGGGCCTGGGGCCACAAGACGGGCACGTCGCATGTGTCTGTGTTGGGGGAGGATGGAAGCGCCGTGGCAGCTACCAGCACCATCAACACGCCGTATGTGCCTGCCTGGCCCCAGGCCCCGCCCCTTTGCCCCCTCAGCTGGTTTGACGAGCCCCCGGTGTCCCCTTGCTTGTGTCCACGGGGCAATACCTTGCTTTTCCCTTTGCTTCTTCCTCTCCGTCAGAGGGTCCAGCCACCTCTGTCTTCTCCGGCTGGGAGGCTGCTGATGGGTGGCCCGGAGCCAGGACCTGCTTGGGCATGAGCTCTACCCAGAAGGACACCCTGATGGGGGGCACAGGTGGATCTTTGGGGGCGAGTGGCAGCTCCGGCATGCTAGCAGGCTGTCGCGAACACGAGGGGCTCAGGCACCCGGGCCAGGCTGGGAGCCCTGACTCCGCCTCTGCCTGCAGCTTTGGAGCAATGCTGTACTCACCACGCACGGGCATCCTGCTCAACAACGAGCTTCTGGACCTATGCTGGAGGCGCCCCCCGGGCTCCAAAGTCACCCCCCAACCCGGTGAGCCTGAGGACCCCACTGGTGAGAAGAGGGAAGGTGGGCAGCCCCTGGGCCAGCCCCAGTGTGCACAGCGGTGAATGGAGACACAGACGGAGGGGGGTTCCGGGGGGCGCTGGCTGAAAGTGAGGCCGCAGGTGACACCCGTCCGGCCTCCAGTTCCAGGCGAGCGGCCTCCATCATCCATGGTTCCCTCCATCTTGGTCAACACAGCCCAGGGGTCAAAGCTGGTGATCGGTGGGGCTGGTGGGGAGCTCATCGTCTCTGCCGTGGCCCAGGTGAGTCAGGGAGCTCCTGGCTGGCACTTCCGCTCTCCCAGGGCCACGGAGGGGTTGGTGTATGGTGGCCGGTGGCCGGTGGCCCCTCCCTCCCCTCCTGTGTTCTCTTTCTCTCCCCCAGGCCATCATAAACAAGCTGTGGCTTGGCTTTGACCTGAGAACTGCTATTGCAGCCCCTATCCTGCACGTCAACAGCAAGGGCCATGTGGAGTATGAGCCCAACTTCAGCCAGGTAAGGTCGCTGTCCCTGCCACCACCGGGACAGATGCCTCAGTGCATGCTGCTCAAAGCCCCCCCGTGGGATCTCAGCCCCTGAGTGTCTTAGGCTGGGCACACTTCCCCTGTTGGGGCCATCGGCAGGTCAGAAGCTCAGTGGGGAAGGCACCAGGCCAGTCTTATGGCCTCCAAGGCAGAAAACAGGGTGTTTGTTGTCCATGCTTCTCCCAGGCCAAGCACCTCTGCACATTGGTCTCCGCTCTGTTCTGTTCCCTCTGGGCGCTAGTGTTCTTGGCTGTGGCCTCTCGGACTCTCTCTCATGATGATCTGTTTCCTTGTATAACTTGTCGCTTTTCTGTGTGAAGTTTAGTTGTAAGAGTATTATTCTGTGACAATCTGCCTAGTGATGTCCTTTTGAGGCATGGGGGTCGCGTTAGTGCTGGTGCTTACGAACATTTCTTGCTTCTCCCCACACAAGCAGGTCCCCAGAGCTAAATTCTCTCATCCAGACCCCTGCCTAGCAGATAGTCATGTCCCACAGAGCTTCTCTGGGCGGACAGACACCCTTTGTTAAGGTCTAATTTAAAAGTCTGGCAGCTTTTAGGGTGCCTGGGTGTCTCAGTTAGTTAAGCATCTGCCTTCGGCTCGGGTCAGGATCCCAGCGTCCTGGGATCGAGTCCCACAACCGGCTCCCTGCTCAGCAAGGAGTCTGCTTCTCCCTCTCCATCCACCTCTCCCCTGCTCATGCTTTCTCTCTCTCTCTCTCTCTCTCTCACTTGCTCTCGTTCAAATAAATAAATAAAATCTTAAAAAAAAAAAAGTCTGGCAGCTTTTGAAGGCTCTGAGCTTCATGCCTGGGGTCCGTTCAGCCAGCTGGGGTTTAAGGCCCTCAAAGCTGCCTTGTCCGTGGTAAGGTGCTCTTGGTGCCAAGGCGTCCTCTCATGGCGCTCAGAGCACTGAGGACCATAGAGTGAGGAAATTTACTCCAAGGGAGTGTGTAGTTCCTGAGAACTTTGGCCTTGGGGGCTGGAGACTAAGGAGTCTCGGAGTCTGAGGCACTCCCTCCCTATACAGGGTACTCCCCACGGTGTCCTCAGATCCAGGCCAGAAATGATCTTGCATCTCAAGCTCCCTCTGGCCTGGGTGATGTCCTCCCTGCCATGCTTCCTGGAGCCTGGCTTCTCCACTGGGACGTTTTGTGGGAGGCCACAGACTCCAGGCCCTCCAGACGAGGCTACACCCAGTGCCCTCCCATCCTCACCGCTGCTGATGCCCAGTCCTGCCTTCTCAGTCGGGACTCAGATCTTTGCCCGGAGCCCCGTCCCCTCAACAGGTGGAGCTAAGCTGTCTTCATCTGTGCGCTGGCCTTCTCTCCCCTCCAGGAGGTGCAGAAGGGGCTCCGGGCCAGGGGCCACAACGAGACCAAGAGTTCCTTTTTCCTGAATGTGGTCCAGGCTGTGTCCCAGGACGGGGCCTGTGTGTATGCCGCAGCGGACCCGAGGAAAGGTGGGGAGGCCTCAGGCTACTGAGGACACTGCTCCTGAGAGCTGCAATCCGGCCCACCATCAGTGTGTGCCCAGGCTGGCCTTGACCATGGGACCAAGCACTCAGGCAGGATCTGGACTCTTTGGTGGAGGGTAGGCCTGGGGCTACAAGAGGTGGGGACAGCCTGGAAGATGGATGACTGTGGGGGCTGAGCTGTCTCCCCGAGCTCCTTGTGGCCCTGCCCTAACCCCCAAGCCTTCCCTAGGCCTCTCACCCAGGACTGTGGCCTACCCTCCCCCCAGGCCCCACTCCCCATCTGTATACCCTCTAGTCCAAGATTAAAGAGGAGGGTGGCTCTCAGCCTGATTCGGGGTCTAGTTGTGGGAAGGCACCCTTAGAAAGCACACACACTGAGTTCCTACAGTCCTCCACAACACACCAGCATGGAGGTGTGGAAACTGAGACCTAACGGCAGGCTGGTCTTGCCCAGGCCACCCCTGGACGGAGGCAGCACCCTACCACCTGCCGGGCCTCTGCAGGATGGCTGTCTGGGGCCTGCCTGTTGGTGGGAAGGTAGGGCTGTGGCCCTGACTCTTGCCAGGCCTTAGGACCATCTCTGGATCTTGCCCTCTGTGCCAGGAAAGGGTTGGATGAAGTAGGACCCCACCCCAGTCCCCAGCCCCAACAATTGCCCGTGTTCTCACACTCAGCACTGTTGCCATTTTGAGTGAAATAGTCTTTGCTGGGGAGCTGTACCCCCATTGCTGTGTGTTGAGCAGCATCCCTGGCTTCTACTTGCTAGATGCGGCAGCACCTACTACCACCACCAGTGGCCAAATCATCCCGAGTTGAGAACGGCTCTCCTGGACCCATTAGCCCCCAGTTGCTGAGATGGCTTTACCAGTTGCTGGGGGGACTGCCCTCCCTAAGAGTGCCTCGCTGGACTGGCCTGGGGGTCCTGCCCCACACTGGTTCCTGGGAGCATTGGGTGTTACCCCAGTGTCCTGCAGGGGCATACCTCCACCTGGCAGGGTCTGAGGCCTGGTTCCACTGCTGAGCCACGGCCTCCCACCCTGCTTTTCCTATTTGGCCAAGCAGGACGGGAGTGGCTATTATTCCCCTGTGGCTGCTGAGACAAAATACCACGGAGTGCCTTCAGACTACAGAAATCTATGCTCTCACAGGCTAGGAGTCTGAAATCAGTATCACCGGGCTGAAAGCAAGGTGTAGGCAGGGCTGAGTTCCCTCTGGGGGCTCTAGGGAGAATCCTTCCTGCCTCTGCCCACTTTTGGTGGCTGCTGGGATTCCTTGCTTTGTGGCCACATCACTCCAGCTCCTCCCTCTGTGGTCATGTGGACTTCTCCTCTGCATGTGAAGGCTCCTTCTGCTCTGGGTGGGTCTGGGTGGAGAAGGTGCCCCCAAAAAGGGGGTAAGGACACCTGTGGGCATCTAGGTCCCATCCAGATAACCCAGGATACTCTCTTGTCTCAAGATCCTTAACTCAGTGGCAAAGTCACTTCTGCCATATAAGGTAATATTCACAAGTGCCGGGGATCAGGACAGGGACCTGATGTCAACCACACATGGGGAGAGAGGGCTGGATAGGGGAGATCTCTGATCTGAGCTTGCCTGAGAGGGTATGGGGGGGGTGGCATTCTGACAGACTCCAAGAGAAAGGACTGGGGACAGGGGTGGCTGACTTTGAGAAGGCGGACAGGCCTGCCATGGTCACTGTGCTCTGTGGTGATCTCGGGGCCACTCACTGCTGCACTCAGACAGCCTGGAGGTCATAGCTCTCCCAGAGTCTGACTTTGGGAGGGAGTAGGAAGAGGAATTTTGGGAAGGGCAGGTCTGGTTCAAGAGTCAGGGGTGTGCAGAAAAAGTGGGCTTAGACAAGCAGGAGTGGGAGGGCAGTTTCTGACCTGGTGGGGTCCAGAGTCTTGCCCTGTGCTGTCAGGAGCATCCGTAGCGTGGCCTCCCCCTAGGGGAGGAACCTTGGTCACTGTCCCGATGACTCTAGCACATCGCTCGGGGGTGACAGAGCTCCCCTCCACGCTGCTTTTGAGGCTTAACAAAAGTCTCAGGTGCAGCTCTCATGGGCCTAGCGGGTCCCTCCCTGAGGCTGTTACCCCTCATGAGCTAATGGGTCCCCACCCCAGCTCTGTCCCAGGTTTCTGGATCATCAGACCCCACACCCACACACCAACCGGGGCCACAGGCACCTCGGACTCAACACACCAAACTGGAAGCCAGCTCTGAGGCAACCAGAGGCTCTCTGGTGTTCACTTCTCTCATTCCGGGCACCCAGTCCTCTCTCTCCCTCTGTGTGGCTCAGCACTGGCTCCATCTCCTTATCCCTCTCCACCTCCTTGCTGCTGCCACGGCCTCCATCCACTCCCCACTCATGCCTTGGAAAACGCATACCTGATCCACGAGGCAGCATGGAGCTCTCCTTGGTTCCTGGTGCCCCTGGAGGAAGCCCACTCCTCTCCCTCCCTGCTCATCCCACCCTCGGGGACTTGCCCAGCCCATGCCCACATCCCACCCGGACCACCAGCAATGCCAGTGATGCCATTTACACAGCCCAGTCAGGGACTCTTACAGCTGGCTTTTTGAACGTCTGGTTACACAGGGGCAATCAGACCCAGGGCTGCAGTATCTTCAAAATAACACTGGCGTAGTACAGATCAGCCCCTACAGAATGCGGGTACTGCAGGATCAAAGGAAAATTCATTGCCTTAAGCAACTACATTAACAATAAGAGTAAAAATGAATAAAGTATCTAAGTGAAAGTGAAGGAACAGTCAGAGCAATCAGGAAAGCAGGAGGAAAGGCTCAGTAACAACAGCAGAGATTGGTAAATCTGAAATCAGAAAAACAGGTCTTTGGAAAAAAAATAGGTTTTCAACAGCTTACAGTACAAATGAAGAAATGACAACGGGGAAATGAGTTAAGATATAGAGGAAGTTGAAAGATCATTCATACAAATAAATTTGGCTAGTTCAATAAACTACTTTCTAGGACAATGTAAGTAGGGTTGCAATATGTGAGACTTATACTGAAAATATTGTTGTTTATCTGAAATTCAAATTTAATTGGGCATCCTATATTTTAGTTTGCTAAATCTGGCAACCTTAAATATAAATGACAGATCCAACAAAGGGCAAAGATCTAGATGTGACAACAATCATCAAAAAAATTTAAGAACATTGCAGGAACACTAGCCTACCTCAAACACCCTTCTAGAAACTTCCTCAGGTGAAGTGTGTCCTGCCAGCTAAGCCCCCACAGTGAGGAGCAAGAAGGAAAATGTCCACACTCACTTTATGAAGCCAGCAAAGGACTGATCCCAAACCGGCCAAAGCGAACCACGGACCGTCGTGTTTATGCAACTCAACACGAAGTTCCTAAAAACTATTAGCAAGGAGAATCTAGCAACGCATGAAAACATGACATGTCCCACCTCCCCCAGTGGGGTGGATACCAGCGCTGCAAGGAAGGTCTTCTCTCGGTGTGTCCATGAGCGTGACTCTTACTTCTTATTTTTCACCCTGAGGAGAAAAGGTTTATCTCCACAGAGAATGAAGGAGCATTTGAGAAAATTCAATAACACCCATTCTTTTTTTTTTTTTTTTAAGATTTTATTTATTTGAGAGAGAGAACATGAACAGGGGGAGGGGCAAGAGGGAGAAGCAGGCTTCCCTGCTGAGCAGGGAGCCTGGGGTCATGACCTGAGCCAAACAAAGGCAGAGGCTTAATGACTGAGCCCTCCAGGCGCCCCTCAACACCCATTCTTGATAAAAACGGAAAAAAAGAAAGAAAGAAACCCACCAAAAAACCACTGATTAAAAGGGGAATGAATGGATACTCTTTTAATATGAATATATGTCCCAAGGCAACAATAGCAACCTCCTCTGGGCATTGACTGTGGGATGGGTACTAGTCTATTGCTTTATGTGTATTAATTCATATAATTCTCCTTAATGAAGTGGAGCTATGATTACCCCAATTTTACAGACGAGGATCCTGAAGTCACAATGGACCAAGGGTCATGCAGAATAAATGCCAGAAGTGAACGCCCGATACACCGATGGAGAAAAATGAATCTTGACCCCTACCTCACACCGAATATAAAAATAATTTAAGATGATCTTAGGAGGGGCGCCTGGGGAGCTCAGTTGGTTAAGCCTCTGCCTTTGGCTCAGGTCATGATATCAGGATCCTGGGATCAAGCCCCTGGTCAGGCTTCCTGCTCAGCAGGGAGTCTGCTTCTCCCTCTCCCCACCATCCCCCCTCATGCTCTCTTGCTCTCTCAAATAAATAAAATGTCTTTTTTTAAAATCAAGTAAACAAGTCTATCCAAATTTGTTTTAAAACAAATTATAAACATACAGTTGTTAAAGTAGCATATAAATAAACCTAAGAAATCATGGGGCGCCTGGGTGGCTCAGTCGCTATGTGTCTGGCTCAGGTCATGATCCCAGGATCCTGGGATCGAGCCCCGCATCGGGCTCCTTGCTTGGCGGGAAGCCTGCTTCTCCCTCTCCCACTCCCCCTGCTTGTGTTCCGTCTCTCGCTGTGTCTCTCTCTGTCAGATAAATAAAATCTTAAAAAACAAAACAAAACAAAACAAAAAACTCAATGGACCACAATACAAATTCCACAGAGATGTAAATAAACATGGAAATCTTGTCTCTGCTAAAGGAGCATTTCAAAGCAGTAAGAAAAAGATTGTTAACAATACCTATTGGAACAAGTGGGCAGCCACCTAGGAAAATAACGAAGTGGGATCCCTACCTGTTTATTTACACCAAAATAAATTCCAGTTGGGTCAAGATGGAAGTGTTAAAAGTGAAACCATATAGATCTATTAAAAAAAAAAAAAAAAAAAACCTCGCAAGGAAGTTTTATTTATATTCATAGAGTGGGGAAAGCCTTTTCAGGCATGACATAAAAACAAGAAGTAAA